ACGCGCTCCGCGCTCCGCCTCCCCTCCTCCGCCCTCTGCCAACCGGCGCGACGCCCCGGACCTGGTCTCGCGCCAGCCACCCAGTGCACCTGCCCCTTGGGGGGCTCCCGGAGGAGAGGGGCACGGGGCTTTCTGTGAACGCAGCATACTCTTGAACCCCACAAGCTAAAACACAACTTTTATTTAGGCTGTTGAATCACGACGGTGACGCGCTCCGCCTCCCCTCCTCCGCCCTCTGCCAACCGGCGCGACGCCCCGGACCTGGTCTCGCGCCAGCCACCCAGTGCACCTGCCCCTTGGGGGGCTCCCGGAGGAGAGGGGCACGGGGCTTTCTGTGAACGCAGCATACTCTTGAACCCCACAAGCTAAAACACAACTTTTATTTAGGCTGTTGAATCACGACGGTGACTGGACGTGACTGCGAAGCATCTGCCGTGAGCACTGAGTGTGACTCTGTGCCACGTCCTGCAGACCCTGGCCCAGAAAGGAGAGATGCTCACCTTGGCAAGGCAAGAGGAGAAGTGCACTCCTCTCCCAAGGAAATTTCTGGAGAGGTGGGAAAAGTACCAGCTGACCCAGGGTCACACTTCCTTTTAAGGTCGAGCTGGAGGGCAGCTACATGGGATGAATGAGTCATCACTGCCTACTATGTTTTCTTGAAGGATCAGTTATTGAATCCAGAATCTACAGTGTCCTCTGTTAGAGCTCTGGGAGCATGGCATTAATTTTCTGTCATTTGTGAATCTCCAATGGAATGTCAATGACTTACAAGAAAACTCTACATGGCTGATGTTTTCTGGGTTTGCTATCTATTGGGGAACCCACAAAGCAGAACAATGTTATTACCAATTGAAGCCACACATATTAATGAAAAGCTAAGATCCATTTCATGAAAGAGAATGGAAACGGCTCATTCCTCAGAAAGGGCGGCCACTTTCCTGTAGTGAGAGTATTGGTACTTCTTGATGAAGTCAAGAGCAAGATGTCTTTCTGAAAGGCCATTAAGCAATTTGACAATACACTTTCAAATTCAAGGTGCATATACCTTTCCCCCAGCTATCTCAGCTATCTCAGAGATCTGTTACACAAAAGCACACAAAGGTATAATGAAAGATATAGGAAGGTGCATGTTGCTGCAGTTTTGTAATAGTAAAAATTTGAACCAGATTGCATGCCCACCATTAGTGACATGGATAAATAAATTTGGCACATTTATACCATATAATACTATGTGTCCATTGAAATGAATACGATACATAGAAAGATACTGGTTTCCTATTGAAAGAAAAATGAGTGACTTAGTGAATTCCTGTTAGAAAGTGTGTGGGGAGACACCTATCTGTATAAAAATTTTCTAGATACGGATCTAGATAGCGCCATGGTTAGATACAGTTTGTCCCCCAAAGGTTGAGTGCTAGGAGCTTGGTTCCAATGTAATGGTATTGAGAGGTGATGGGACCTTTAAAGGATGGAGGCCAATGGGAAGTCAGTGGGTCCTGTGTGCCCTTGGGGAGGGATTAATGCTGGCCTGTGGAGTGAGGCAAGTCTGGAAGGAGAGGATTTACAAGAGTGAGTGGGGGCCCTCCCTGCTCTTACCATGTGATCCCTCTAGAACACTCTCCTGCCACATGATGCCTCCAGCCACGAGGCCCTCATCAGATGCCAATGGAACACTGTGCTCTTGAGCTTCCCAAACCTTGACCCAAAAGAAACTTCCCTCTTTTTTAAACCCCAAACTCCAATGTTTGTTATGTTACATAATGAACTAAAAGAGACCAAGAGAGGAATGAAAGGAGAGAGAGGGAGGGAGAGAACTGTAGTGGTTACCTATTAACTACAGTGAGACTTGAAAGGACTATCACTTGTTACTATATATAACTTAGTGTTATTTAGCTTATTTTTACATAAGCATTCATTAGTAATTTACTGGTAAAGAATCAAAACCAAATAACTATAAACATTCATTGACCTATGTATTATTGCCTGGTTGGAAACTGAATCCAGAAGAGAAAAGGGCCATTGAGTTGACCATCTGTGCCCTCAGATGCTGAAGGTTTGGGAAACTCTGCCTTGGTTTCCCACTTAGTGACTTCCTTAATCATTTTGTCCTGCCTTTTTCTGTGAGGGGTTCTTCTACACATTCATTTTTGCCCTGAGGTTTAACTTTATCCTGAGTCTGCTTGCATTCTGACGCTTAGAAAAAATTGAGATTGTGAGGAAACCATCATTCTAAAATGTGTAGCCTCACATACCAACAGGGAAAGTGTCAACTTTCAGTTCAGCTGCCTGACCTCAAATGAAGATACTAAAAGTTAGAGATGACTATATGAATGTATCACTGGCTTTTCTTATTCTCATCATTTTTGAAATGAGATTAAAATAATAAATTTGCTTTTCTAAAAAAGTTGTTTGGTGCTTTGTAGTCCAATCCAGTGGCCATTAGACCCTGTAAATTGGCAAATGACCAGCAGCTAATTGGAACTGATGTCTTTAGAAAGTGCAAAATACACACTAGATTTTGAAGGCTGGAAATAATAACTTTTTGAAAATATATCTTGTTAATACTGTTTTATCTGTTACATATTGAAGTAATATTTTGGATATATTGGGTTAAACAAAATATATTACTAAAATTTTAACACTTGTTTATTTTTACTTTAACATCATTACTAGAAAATTTTGAACTATATATGTGGCACATTGGACAACTTCATTTTAGAATTAGTGTTTATGGTAAAATATGGGTAAGAAAGCTAAAGTTAGCTATTCTTCTTAACATCTAAAGATCAAATATACTCTCCTAATTAATGCTTCCAATTCATAAGGATGCTGCAATAGGGCAATTTAAATTAAATCATTTTGATTTTTTAGAAAGCTATTATATACAAACATTAGCTCATGTGCTTATATTTTTAAAATAGTTTAGCACAGACACTGAAGTCAAATTATTTGGCCAGAATTCCAGTTTATCAAATCCTTGACCTCCCTAGCAATTCCAGTTTATCAAATCTGTGCCAATTTCAAACAGCTGTTCCTCAGTGTCCTCGCCTACGAAATAGGTCTTGCTCTCAAAATGATTCACTTAGCTCACTGAGTTGTTATAAAAAGAAGATTGATGAATGCACATATATTTCTAACCTGACCATATGAATAAATTTTGGTTACTATTATTTTTATTATTGTACTTTGTTAGATCTGTCATTTATTCCATCAACCCTAATTAGGTTAGTCTGTATGTAAACAAAGCTTACCTTTAAATGCTGTGGTTGGCACTGCAACTGCGCCACCAGAATGTAATTCTTTCCCCCTTAAACTGGTTATAACTTCATCAAATCAAAGATGTGTAGTAAATCATTTTTAGTGAGCAAAATAAACCAAATGTTTCAATTACCACATCAGGATTCATAATAATTTTATCTCAATAGCTATTAGATTTTCCAGGTTTAACAAAATGCAGCAAATATTCATAAGTTTATGGTCAATTTATTAAGAAAAAAACCCTAATATTGTAAAGTAAATAATATATTCCTACTGAAGCAATTGTATAAAAATCTTCCTGTCTTATAGTTAGGGTTTTTATCCACCTTAATCTTTATATTTCCCATTTATAAGCCATAGTCACAGCTGGTATTTATTGCACACTATATCCAAGGTCACCATATCCAATTACTTAGTAGCAGAATTACTGGATTCTTAACCACTGCACACTAAAGATTCTATTTTTTTAGAAAAAGAAAATGTTTTAAGTTTTACTTTCTGACATAATAAAAAACTAAAAGAAAAAAAGCAACTATCCTAAGAAATATTTTTAATTTATTTGAAATCTTGAGCCCAAATGTGTTTTATTCCATTAAGCTATGAATTTTGGAGCAGTCAAAGAAGAAAAGCAAGCTTCAGTGTTCCCTCATTACAACCTCATTAAGTAGCAGCTCCTTCAGCCCCTGCCTTCTAGTCATATTCTGACATTGTTTAATGGAGTGATATGAACACATTCAAAACACATTAAAAATACTTGTTTATGTCTCAAAATTCATTTTCTTTATGGAAAATTTTTAAAATTTGGCTAGAAAAAAACCCCAGCTCTTGCTGGGTTCACAAGGGTTCAAAATTCAAAGCATACCCTAGGCTGAGCCAATAGAAGCTGGAAACTTGGAATTCACAAATTCTTCTCCTCATGATGGCTCTCCAAGGCTCTGGGCAAATCTACTCTAAAAAGCAAATATTGACTATTATATCTGTGCAAGTAGAGAAAAGCACACTCCTTCCTGTACTGGTTCTATGTCTCATGGACATCCTTGCTCAAAAGAAGTACATTGGTCCCCTGGACTCAATAATCTGTGGCCATAGAGGGTAGTTTATACCATATTTGCTTCAAGGAGTCCAAGAGGTATCTAGCATTCTCAATTCCTT